ATTAGAAAGAACAAGAGCAATGTTGAGGGATGTAAACATAGAAAAATCATTCTGGGCAGAAGCAGTCAATACCACCTATTATTTGGTGAATCGAGCTCCATCAACTGCAATAGAGCTGAAGAAACCAATGGAGATGTGGACTGGTAAACCAACTGATTATTCAAACCTCCATGTATTTGGAAGTATTGTGTACGTGATGTACAACTCCCAAGAAATTTCAAAGTTGGATCCAAAATCTAGGAAATGCAAATTATTGGGGCATACTGATGGTGTAAAGGGATATCACTTATGGGATCCCACTGCCCACAAAGTGATCATTAGCAGAGATGTTATCTTTGTAAAAGATAAACAACAAAGAAAAGAAGACGATGATAGCGCTGAAAAGTCAGAGACTACATAGATACATGTGGAAAAGGAGGTTGAACAAGGAGAATCTTCTAAAGCAGAACTATCACATGATGAACAAGAACCAGAGAGTTCTGAAGCTCCAACAACTCGTCAATCAAATCGTGTGAGAATACGTCCCAATTGACACTCAGATTATGTTATAGAAGGAAATATTGCATACTACCTTTTAACAGAGGACGGTGAGCCATCAACATACCAAGAGGCAATAAACAACTCAGATGCTTCACTGTGGATGATGGCGGTGCAAGAAGAAATTAAAGCCCTTCATAAAAATAATACATGGGACCTTGTGTCACTACCACAAGGAAGGAAGCCAATTGATAACAAATGGGTCTTTAAAATCAAGCGAAATGATGACGATCAAGTGGAGAGGTATCGTGCAAGACTGGTGGTCAAAGGATATGCTAAAAAAGAAGGTATTGATTTCAATAAAATATTTTCTCATGTGGTTCGACTAACAACAGTTCGAGTAGTCTTGGCAATGTGTGCTACATTGAACTTACATCTAGAGCAGCTAGATGTTAAAATAGTTTTTCTTCATAGAAATCTTGAAGAAGAGCTTTATATACTCCATCCTGAAGGTTTTGAAGAAAAAGAAAAGAAGAACTTGGTTTGCATGTTAAACAAATCTCTGTACGGTCTAAAGCAGGCGTCGAGGTGTTGGTATAAGATATTTGATTCCTTCATTATGTGCCTTGGATACAACAGACTTAATGCATACTCTTGTGCTTATTTCAAGAGGTCTAGTGATAACGATTTTGTTATATTACTGTTGTATGTGGATGACATGTTGGTTGCAAGATCCAACAAAGATCATATTGAAGAATTGAAGGCACAACTGGCTAGGGAATTTGAAATGAAGGACTTGGGATCAGCAAATAAGATTCTAGGGATGCAAATTCACTGAGACAGAAGTAATAGGAAGATTTGGTTTTCACAAAAGAATTACTTAAAGAAGATCTTGTCATGATTCGGCATGCAAGATTGTAAGCCAATTCCCACCCCTCTTTCTATTAACTTCAAATTATCCTCCAGTATGAGTCCTAGCAACGAAGAAGAGAGGATGAAGATGTCTTGAGTACCGTATGCATCGGCAGTGGGAAGTTTAATGTTCGCTATGATATGCACAAGACCAGACATTGCACAAGCAGTGGGAGTGGTTAGTGGGTACATGGTGAATCCAGGCAAAGAGCATTGGAATACAGTAAAAAGGATCTTGAGATACATCAAAGGGACCTCAAATGTTGCATTATGCTACGGAGGATCAAATTTACTTATCAGTGGGTATGTTGATTCTGACTATACAGGGGATTTGGATAAAAGCAAATCTACTACATGATATGTGTTCAAAGTTGCTGGTGAAGCTGTAAGTTGGGTTTCAAAATTGCAGTCAGTTGTGGCTACATCCAAAACAGAGGCAGAATATGTAGCAGCTACACAAGCCAGTAAAGAAGCAATTTGGTTGAAGATGCTATTGGAGGAGCTTGGGCACAATCAAGAGTATGTCTCTCTGTTTTGTGACAGTCAAAGTGCCTTGCATCTAGCAAGGAATCCAATATTTCATTCAAGAACAAAGCACATACGAGTTCAGTACCATTTCATTCGTGAAAAGGTGGAAGAAGGGACGGTAGATATGCAGAAGATCCATACCAAATATAACATAGCAGATTTTATGACAAAAGCGATCAATGGTGATAAATTTACTTGGTGTCGATCCTCTTGTGGCCTGACAGAAACGTAAGCAATATGAAGGTACAAGGTAGAAAGAATGGTGTGAAGATATGATTGTTCCAATCAAATCTTCAAGTGGGAGATTGTTGAAAATCAAACAAATTCACCGAAAATTTTTATTCAAAAAGGGGGGAAGATTTGGTTGAAAATTAAATGGGCAAATTACAAACTTTAGTCACTAAATTTTAGGATATTTACAAGATTAGTCCTTAAGCTTCAACTATAAATACCCTAACCCATTTAGCTTCAAAACCATCACAAATCATTCTAGCTTTCTCCCCATACTAGAGAATTTAGAGAGTTTCTTGAGAGTTGTTTTCTCCTTTTTATCAAGAGATAATTGTTATTGTTTTCTCCTTGGTAGATCGAGAGAAGTTGTAATTCCTATTTTCTCATAGTGAAATTCTTCTACCGTTGCCCGTGGTTTTTACCCTATATTATGTAGTAGTTTTTCACGTAAATTTTGTGTCTTCTTTATCTTCATTTTTATTTTCTCAAATTATCAGTTGCGATTTTGCTCTATCCGATAGCCGTATTCCACAACAATTGGTGCGGTTTTAATGAAACTTGCTTTCCAAATTTTGGCAAAAAAGGATCGACTTTGGGTCTAATTTCTCCGGGCAAAATACAAGTGTGGGGAGGGTATTCCGGATGATATAGCTCTTACTAGATGTTCAAGGCTTTGGAAAGGTTTGTCTTGTATCTGGGAGGATGCTCGAAAGAATGTAACTTGGTGTATTGGTAATGGCCGAGAGGTGGACTTCTGGTTTGATGATTGGTTAGATGAACACGGACCATTAATAAATCATGTTTTGATAGCTGGAGCGATAGGGATGCAAAGGGTGACGATTGCCGACATGGCTGATAATCAGGGCCAATGGCGTTGGAATCTGTTTGAGGATATGCTTCCGTCCTACATTCTGATGATTATAACTGCGAAAATGGGACCAAAACCACAATTTCCAACGGATACAATTGGTTGGAGACTAAGGGTTGACGTTGTTTTACAGTAAAATCAGCATATGATATACAAAGTAGTTCTTGGTCTACCGATGGTGATCCTGTTTGGTCAATGATTTCAAAGCATAGAGGGCCACCAAAGATTTGACTTTTTCTTTGGCTTGTGAGTTGCGATAGAGTTTTGGTGAATATGGAAAGAAAACGGAGACATTTTACGGTTGATGGATCTTGTCCTTTATGTGCGGCACTGGAAGAAAACGTGAATCATCTGCTCAGGCTATGCCCATCTGCCCGGACTGTTTGGAGTGCGATAGTACAGCAGGATCACTTATCTATTTTTTAAACATGAATATGAAAGATTGGATAATAGGGAATTTAGTTAGTCCGAAAGGCATCGATAGGACTAGTGAGCATTGGGACCTTTTATTTGGAATTATTGTTTGGAATCTTTGGCTTCATCATAATGCGGTTGCTTTTGATAATCCGATGACAGATATAATGACGGTATTTGATTGTAGTAGACAATGGTTTGACATTATGGTTAGGACGACGGCGAATGAGAGAAGTTGTATGACAACATGGAGGATAAGGGAAATCGAACAACTAGTTGGTTTCCTCCGGTGGGATGGATCAAAGTAAATACCGATGGGTCAAGACACAAGGAGAATGGAGCCGCTGCTTGTGGAGGTGTGGCTCGGAATGATATTGGTGCATGGCAGGTAGGATTTTCAAGATTCCTTCGCAATTGTTCGGTATTTGAAGCTGAAATATGGGGTATGTATTTAGGCCTCCAATTTGCTTGGGAGCTTGGTCCGAGACAGGTTATCTTGGAATCCGATAGCTTAGAGGCGGTCATGGCTATCAAGCAACTTGGTGTAAGTACAGCTCGAGTTACTTTGTTGCAGCACATTGCTGAAGTTATGAAACGGGATCGGATGGTTCAAGTTCAACACGTGCCTCGTCAAGGTAATCATGTCACGGACTGTCTGGCATTAATAATAAAATTTAAATAATAATGAATTAAATTGAATATTTTTAAAATATACTTTTATATTTTTATTAAAAATTAAATTTAAATAATAATGAATTAAATTTAAAAATTGACAAAAAATTAATAATAGATAAATTAAATGAGACGGACAGAATATCAAACATTCTATTTTTTCACTGATATATTGAATTTATTTTGTGTCCCGCAATAGAGTGACAAGTGCTAGAAGAACTTATATATTATAAATGCTAAATAGAAGCTTAATTTTATTCGAATCTGTTTACAAAGAACTGTATAAAATCGCATAAATTAAAAAAATTTATTTATTCTCACAGTAGTAATAGATTCAAACTACCAGCGTTCAATGTTCAACTTATTACTGAGTTTGACAGGTAAACAAGTAAATCTTATTTAATATTTATAGATAATGCCTGCACAGCTTAGCTTGTTATTATACTCCATATTCACACCTCGAGCGATCCAGTGATCCTTTACGCACAGCAAATACTGTGAGTTCTTAGCCAATATGAGGCGTCGTTCATACTTGTCCAACCAAACTCGGATCCGATTCATACTTCTCCAACCAAACTCGGACCCGATCGCAACGAAAATCCATGGTCACCATCATTCCTTCTTCTTCTTCTTCCAAAACGTTGGGCATAGAGGGCATAAAAGAAAGGGCTGAATAAATTAGGCCCAACAAAATGGGTTTCCTTCTTCCCCTGACTATTTGGGAATTAAAAAGAAGGAGGCGTTTCTGTCGCTAATTCACGTGACAGTGATTTCTTTATCTAAAGAAAAAAATCATATGGAAAACATTTGATGGGATGGGACCCCCCAACGTGGCACCGATTTACATGCCGAACATTTTCGGAGATGAGAACCCAATTTATAGTATTTGCAAACAAGAAAAAACCCTAACATTTTCACAGATCTGAAAGCCTAATTGTTCTCGGGTGAAGTCTTGCTCAAGCTCACAGCCACTACTTCTCAATTCAAGTAAGGATGTTTTTCTTCTTTTTTTATGTATTGGGTTTCGTACTGTCTATAATTTTGTTCCTTTGACTTTTTGCATTTGCTTCTGGATTTGGTCATTGGACATGCTTTAAAATTTTGCTAGAGACTTAGTTATCGCCTTATCGGAATGATTTTCTTGAAGCCGCTGTTTTCGGAATTGAGTGTTGATGATAATCTGCTTAATGGTTATGGAATTTGTCGAATTGCAGGTTAAAAGCTTTTAATTTAACTGCTATAGGTGGATTTTGGGAAAAATTCATGTGCTGAGTTGAATGGGCACTGTTGAATCTGGTTTAGCAATTTATACCAAAGCTGTAAGGTACTCTGTTCTGATTGGGGCTTTCTGAGCGGTAATTAAGAAATGGGTGAAAAGTTTTGGACAAATGAGGAAGATAAGGCTAAGGTGGAATCTGTTTTGGGTACTGAAGCCTGTGATTACTTGATAGTGTTGGCTGCTAAGAACGTGCTGTCAGATCTCGTCTCTCCACCGCCCAGTTATTTGGGTGTGCAACAAAAGCTTTGCGAGGTCTTAGAGAGGTCGAATTGGAACTATGGGATTTACTGGCAAGTGTCGAGCTTGAAATCTGGTGGAACGATCTTGATTTGGGGTGACGGACATTGCCGGGATCCTAAGCTTGGTGGAGCTGGTGCCGATGTCAGATCAGAAGGGGTTGAGAAGATAAATGAGGTGAGAATGCAGGTACTTCAGATGCTTCATGTAGGCTTTGGTGGGTCAGAGGAGGATGGCTATGTTGCTAAGTTGGATGGCATATCAGATATGGAGATGTTTTATTTCACTTCAAGGTACTTTAAATTTCATTGTGATACACCGTATGGTCCTGGAGAATCCTACAAGTCAAGCAAATTAATTTGGACCTCGGATTTGAATTCTTGTTCAAATCATTATCAATGGAGATCATTTTTAGCCAGATCTGCTGGACTGCAAACAGTGGTGTTTGTACCTGTGAAGTCTGGGGTGGTGGAGCTCGGTTCCTTTAAGTTGATTCCTGAAGAGCAGAATATTGTGGAGATGGTGAGTACTGTGTTTCGTGGATCCAGTTCTGTGCAGACGAAAACAATTCCAAAGATATTTGGACATGAACTAAGTTTGGGTGGTTCAAAGTCTCAGTCGATTAGTATTAACTTCTCTCCGAAAACGGAAGATGAGTCGGGCTTTGTGTTGGAATCTTATGATGTTCAATCGCTAGGTCCCAATCAACTTTATGGTAATTCCTCTAATGGATGTCAAAGTGAAGGCGATGCAAAGTTGTTCCCACAGTTACTTGTTGGAGGTCTGAATGCACAAGCAAGAATATCTGGTATGGGGCATACTAAAGATGACTCACCATCTTTACCTGATGAACGAAAACCAAGGAAGAGGGGAAGGAAGCCGGCCAATGGGAGAGAAGAACCATTGAATCATGTTGAAGCAGAGCGACAGAGGCGGGAAAAGCTTAACCAGCGATTCTATGCGTTAAGGGCCATTGTCCCTAATATCTCTAAGATGGACAAGGCCTCTCTGCTTGGTGATGCCATTACCTATATCACAGACCTCCAGATGAAGATTAGGGTGTTGGAAACTGAAAAAGATACAGTAAACCATCCACAAAAGCAGTTGCCGATGCCTGATGTAGATTTCCAGCAAAGGCACGAAGATGCAGTTGTGACAATGCGCTACCCTTTGGATGCTCACCCGGTCTCTAGAGTCTTAAAAGCTTTGAAGGAAAATCAAATTACAGCACATGAATCTGACGTTTCAACAAGTGATAATGACAAGATTGTTCACACCTTCACCATTGGAGCCCCAAGTGGTGGTGCCGAACTACTGAAGGAGAAACTGATGGAGGCTTTATCTAAATGACAAACAGGTATCAGTTGTATCGTTAATGTACATCTAAGCGAATGCTGTGCATCGAATTATAGGAAAATGGGATTTCTGCAGTGACTAACAGATTAGTGACCATTGCATTCGTTTCTATGAATGATATGTACCCTGGTACTTTTAAATGATGTGTACCCCCAAAGTGCATGGTTTAGATGCACGACAGGGGAAATCTTTAGCTTGTACCTCATGTTAAAGACACTTGCGATTAGAAAATTCCATAAAGGGCCGTGGCTTACTTGGCAAGTTGCAATCTTTTAATTGAAGAGTTGATTACTTTCACTCCTTGAGAAAAGAGGCATGTGTTTCTAACCTCTGAAGTCAGAACCCTTCGCTGTTCAAACATCATATGGTTATTTATTCAGGGATTCAACTCAAATATTCAAGTCAATCTTAAGTTTTGTCAAACAATGCTGTGGTTCCCTAAATCTGAATTCCTGCCTCCAGAACAAGATTTGCCAAGACCGTTGCAGGTAAACTTTGAAGTGTTTTTTTTCGTTTTACTAGGTTGCAGTAAAGGTTTCTTTTTGCAATTTTATAGCAGATGGTTTCAACGCCATTGGCAATAAAAACATAGGGTCCGTTTGGTTATGTCAAATATTCTGTTTTTATTTTTTGTTTTCATTTTAAAAAAATAGTATTAATTTTCCTTTTTTTTAAATTAGAAGCATGTTTAGTTAATATAAATAAAAAGTTGAATTTAGAAATAAAAATAGTGAAAATATATTTGGTATCTAATTTTTAAAAATAATTAAATTAAAATATAATTATTAAACATATCTATTACATAAATTGAATTGAGTTATACAAATATAAAATAATAAACTTGATAAGAAATTTCATAAAATAAAAATATTTTAGTTTATGATAAGAATATAATGTTAATATATATTAAACATTAATTAAATTAAAAAATATACAAAAATATTATTATCAACAACACACAAAAGTGTCATTAAAATAAAAATACATATACATTTTGCTAGTATCTAAGGCTCTAAAACTTTTGAAGAAAAACTAACGTAGCCTATGGATTTTTTTACACTAAATGTAACTTTTAATTTGAGAAAAATCAATATAATCTTTTGATTAACATAATCAAACGTTGATCGTCACGATGTTTACATAACAACTCACAAAGTTTATATGATAATCTATAATATGGATGTGATAGTTCATGATGTTGTTATGACAATATACGATGGACAATGATGTGATAGATTGACTTAATTGATTATTTTTACTTAATATTATTGTTTGTTCTTTCTTTCATTATATCTACTTTGCTATAGCCTATACGGATATGTTTTTTTTTTCACATTATGTAATTTGTCGGGGCCGGTGTAGATGATCAAACCATGACTATAAACAAATGTGAATTGTCAAAGATTTCCCACTTTTATGGTTGTTGGTATGTGAATCTGCCGTGTTGCCAGTTGCCACCTCGTTTCAATCTTCAAACCACATGGCTCAGTCAAATTCAGATATTTGATTAAAGCCATTTCAGATTGCAGTCAAGCCACACCCATAGATTAAAACCGGGGGGGGGGGGGGGACACGGCTCAATCTCTCTCTATAAATAGCCAACCTCCACCAATCTCATCCAATTCAACATATCAACTCCCCCCAACCCCAATTACTCTGCTCAAAACGGAGAAAAGATGGTACTCTCCCACAGGAAAAACCTTTTCAGAACCTTATTGGTTTTCTCCTTGTTAGTAGCTTCGGTCCAACTTGGAGCAACGAGGCTACTGAATGGAAATCAGTTGGTGGCGAAAGATAAGCACGAGGTTCAATCGCTCCCTCGAGGTCCGGTGAAAGGGTCCGGTCACAATCCGTGCACGAACATCCCTGGAAGAGAAACCGGCGTCTGCAAGCTGGGTGGCATGAATATAGCCGGTAATGCTATGCATTCTTTTTCAGCATTTCCCAGCGTTGTTGCTGAGTTTGGGGTGGCTTCCACTGCCAGTGGGGCTCATGATCAAGACATTAGCTCTTAGTGGCTAACAAATTTAGATATCCAAGACTTACAAAATAGATACCAATGTGATTATTATTATTATTATTATTATTATTATTATTCATATACTTGTAAATTCATTTTTTTTAATTCTTTCCTAGGACCGTCAATCCAAGTAATCTTTGTTTGGTCAAGAACCAATTTTAGTTGACATTTATTGAACACAATTCTTTATTTAAAGCTGTGCAAGTGGCCACCTGTATCCGTTGTATCCGAGTAATCCAAGTTTACCATTGTATCTGTTGCATGAGATATTAACACGAGAACATGTTTTTTTTTTTGAACAATTCCTGGGAGAGAGAAAAAGAAAATTTTATTATTAATGGGTATTGAAACCATAATCTAAGAGAGAAGGAACGGTTTGACTTAAAGCTTTTAATCACACGTTTTAAAAGTTATTGACTAACATGAGAATATCTTTATTTGGAAGAAAACAAAAAATTGGCTGAGTTTAAATAGATGCTCGTACTAAAAAGATGTAGATATGATTTAAAGCCTGGACTGTAACCTTATCTTTCATGTTAAATGTTCAAATATAATCTTTAAGAAAGTTAAGGATTTATCAATTTTTAAATATACTCAAATAAGAACCTAATATTTGTTTAATATGTTTAAATAATTATTGATTTAATTAAATTTGATGGTATGATATTATTGTTTTGAAATAATAATAAATAATCCATAGTATTTATTTATTTTGTTACTTTTTTGTTTTGTTTCCCTCCCAGTTTTCTAAGGCTTCGTTTTAATTAATATGAACCGACCCGCATCGCACACTTAGTTTTGGTGGGTGAGTCTCCCTACAGGGATTTCCTGCACACACAAAGACTCGAACTCAAGACATTGCTTAAGCGATATCAAACTGCTTACCACTTAAATCATTCCTTGTTGGTTATTTATTTTGTTACTTTAATCCTAAATTCTAATTTGTATTTTTAATAATTTAACCCTCAACCTTCAAAATGTTGTCATATTATATTTTTAATAAAAAATAATTATACTGTTAAAATTTTAATGATATTGCCATATTGGCATAAGATTTACTTAATAATATGCATATACTTTATTAGTAAATAATTAAAAAAATTATGAATTGTTGTCAACAATCTTTTAAAGTAAATGATTAAAAGCTCTTAATTTACATCTCCCTTCTTTCTTAAATTGTGAATTCAATACCCATGAGGAGTAAAGTCTCCAATTCCCTCTTTAAAAATTGTTAAAAAAATATGAATTACTCTAAACTTTTAGTAATTTTTATGCTTTTTTTTTTATTTTATGAAGTACATATATAACCAAAAAACGGCCACGTTAACTAAAATTAAAATTTAGCTATCGAATTAAATTTTCTATCTAAAAATATTAAATTAAATAATTCTAAAGATTGAGGTGAGAATGATTAAGGCTCCGAAAAGGAAAAATCTTAAGGAGTTAAATTTGTTATTACATTTATTTTTAATAAAAAAATAATGTGTTACTAAAATTAATTTATTAAAATGTTAAATTATTATTTGAGTAGAATCAAAAAGTTTAAATCTTAAACCCATCAGATGATCTAAGTTGTTAAAGAGGGTATTATTCTTTCTAAAAGTCATGAGTTCAAGCAGCTTGGTTTGTGGGGTGTGTGTTGTCTGACCAAAAAAGATTTTGAACATATATTATTTTGTAATTGAAGACACCGAATTTCGACCATTAACATTAATATTATATAATATATTTTATTTATAAATTATATTATATAATAAATATATATGTTCATTTATTTATTTATTTATTTGGGTTTTATTTTTACACTTTGTACAGGCCCAATACATCGGCAACCCAATACATCGGCAGCCCAATTGCACCCTTTAGCAGACCCGGTGGAACCCAGCTGGCCCACTCCAAGCCAACCCGAGCACTCAAGGGTTTCTAGAAACCCTAGCGTCGTTCCTTATTTGAAGTCCCCACGCCGCACGCCACCAACAGCCTGCATCTTCCGGCGCAAGGAGAGCACGAAGATCCCTCGGCAACAACCCACCAACAAACAAGAAACAAACATGGGTAGTTTAGTTCGGCTAGGATTCAAAACAAAGTCTAAAAATAGCATATTTTACTACTATAAATAAGTGTAATCGAACTCAATGTAACACATGATTTTCATACTGAATACAAGCAAAGTTACTAGCAAATCACAGCCAAATATTCAGAGCATTACGAAGATTTCCTGCAATATTTCGAAAAGAAAGGTAAAAATTTTCATTCCTTTGCGTGCTCGTTTTTAGCAAAATCGATCTAATTTTTTAAAAGAGGAGGGGGAAAGCTTTCGGAAAAGTATATTTTTTTAAGATTTGTCTCCGATGACTGGCGGTCGGCGTCGATCAACGGCGACGGCGAGGCGGCGTGCGGTGTCGGAATCTGGAAAACTGGCTCGTGTTCTTCATTTGTGAAGAACAGGCGAGAGAAAACGAAAAACAGGGGAGGGGAGCTCGATTTTGAAATGAAATCAAATGAAATTTAAAAAAAAAGTTATATACTCAGCGCATGAAGACCCGCGCAACCCGACCCATCAGCAACTAGATCCGCGTGTTTTGGTTTTAAAAAAGGTGTAAACTACGTTTTAGTCCCTCATTGTTTCAATCCTTTTATTTTGACCTTTAATCCTAATTTTTGAACCTAATTCTATTTTAATTTGTCACTCGATTTTCCTTTCTTTATAATTTAGTCCTTTTTAATTTTAATTTTAATTTTACTTCTCCATTTTTATTTTTTTATTTGATATTATATTATAATATATATATATATATATTATTCCTTTATATTATTTTCTGATTTTTTGGTTTCTATTTTAGTTTTTTTTCTATGTACATACATGTAGTAATATTATTATTTTATCATTTATTTATTTTTTATATTTATATTTATATGTATGTATATATATATTTGCTTTGTGTCTTATTAGTATTTATTATTCTTTCTTTCTATATTTTGTTTATACACTAATATATATATATATATATATCACTTTTTTTTATTATTATTTTCTTTTTGGTGTTTATATTTCTTATTTTATTCTATTTTTTTATTTATCTCATTTTATCTATTTTGTTTATTTATTTCTTTATTTTCTTTATCCTGATTTTATTTTGTTTTATTTATGTATTTTTATATTTGTCTTTTATCTTTATTCCATTTTCCCATCTTTATATGTTATCTCCTTTTTATCTTTACCTTTTTATTTAGCCCTTTTTTATTCTTATTTATTTTCATCATTCCAAATCTAACATTTTCTTTTCAAGGATCTTCACTCAAATTTATCAAAGGTAAGTAATTCATGATCAAAATTTTACCTGTTAATTTAACTTGCAATTTTATTAATTAAAGACAACTGGAAATTACATAGTACTGAAAGGGCAGTTCAAGGGTGCTAACCCTTCCTTGACTGTAATCGACTCCCGAATCCGACATATCTTCTGGTAAGATGCAGATCAGGTAAGAAATAAGGTATCCGATCAACCCATTTGTTTTTTTTAAATAAATGATCGGTGGTGACTCCCAAATCAATTTTCCTAAGTCGAAGCCCAATTTCCAGCCCACCCGAAAGACGGTTCCGACAGCTTGGCGACTCCACTGGGGACAGGTAAGTGAGTCAAGTTAAGGTAATTTTCAGTTGTCTTTTTAACGAAAAGGGTAAGTTTAAATTTTAAGGAAACATTTCGATCTTTATTGCTTACTTTTGATTATATTTTTCGAGTAAATAGTTGTACTAATCATTTTCTAATGATTTAAGCCCCTAAAGATTTTTCATCTAAGGCTCTAAACCCGAGCTCCAAACCCGTTTTAAGTGCGGGTGAAAGCGACGCCTTCGTGTGAATTTATTCACCATATGTGCCTAGCAAGTAACCTTCGGGATTCATATACCTTATGTCTTCGTGTGAATTTATTCTCCGTATGGGCATAAGGGAATGTTTCATCTCGGGTTTAACTTAGTCCACACAAGCTTGTAATGGGCTTAGGACTAAGGGTCTGGCAGGCCCAAGGGGGCACCGGCAAAGAGAACTCGAGTACCGTTTTTTAGAACCTAAACTAGGAGACTATGGAGAAATAGAGCCTACCCCGAAACCACAATCTAAAACCTAGGATATTTTTACCCTAACCATGTTTTTATTGTTTTTTTCTTTTCGACATTTTTTATTTATTTATTTTTATTTTACTATTTTTTTTTGCCTTTGTGTTTGTTTTTTTAGCATTTGTATTATATCAAGAGGCTATTGATCCCTAAAAGGTATTTGTTACACAAAATAATCTGAACTAATGGAATAAGGTGTTGTAATACAAGAGATTAAAAACCCTGAGGTACGACTATGGTTCGAGAAGACTCAGAAGGAAAGGGGAGTCAGTCTTCAAGGAAGCTATGTATTAGAGCTGGTTAGCTACGCGTATATCATCCTAAAACAGAACAATGTTCAAGAGCTTCGAGACATCTGGGACAGTTGGAAGAATGATCGAAAATAGAAGTTCAGCCAACGATACGGTGAAATTGCACTTTTTCTTCATGTTAAGACTGATGAACCCTTAATCAGAGCCTTGGTTCAATTCTGGAACCCGGGATACAGTTGCTTCACTTTTAACCGGGAGGACATGGTGCCCACTATCGAGGAGTACACTATACTATTGCACTGTGAGAACATCAAACTGGAGCGAGTCTACATTAAACACATTAAAAATCAACCTTTCAAGAATACGTTGGCTAAAGTTGTAGGCGTAGACGAGAAATGGGTAATTTACCGGACTCAGCTCAAAGGCAACGGGGAAATAATTGAATGGATCCACATAAAGCAACTAATGAAGAACCACCCTGATGAGTAGAAGACTATAGACTTGTTTGCACTGGGTCTGTACGGTTTGATTATCTTTTCGAAGGCTTTGGGGTGCATTGACACAACCGTGGTGGAGTTGTTTAAACAACTTCCAAAACGAGCCAACCCAGCACTAGCCATCTTAACTGAGACCTTTCGATCTCTCAACCATTTTCGAAGAACTAA